AAGTCATAACTTCCCACCTTTCATGGTTGCGTTTTTTCTGTACCAGGTGTGGCCGCCATGAATATGTGTCAGTCAGGTCTCCTTGGTGGGGACTTAACTGATGGAATGTGGTGAATGCACCACCTACTTTGCACAGACGTCCCACAGGCTCCCAGCAGGGATCTGAAATAAGCCCAATGCTGTGAGCAATGGTTTTCATCTTGTGGGTAACTTTAGCTCAAGGACTCCCCATCAGCCTTGCAGATACTCTCTTAGAAGGCACTGTAGCCCTGGCGGGTGTGGCTCAGTGGCTGGAGCATCGTTCCCTGCACCAAAACGTCACTGGTTCGATTCCCAGACAGGGCACATGCCAGTGTTGCTGACTGGATCCCCAGTGGGGGGTGTGCAGGAGGCAGCTGATCAATAATTCTCTCTCTCTCCCTCTCCCTTCCTCTCTCACACACAGACACACCCCCACACAACATTAAAAAAACATGGCACTGGGGGTGTTTCCAACATGCTTTAAAATGAGAGCTACTGGGGATCTAAAGGTATTGTCCACCCTGCTTGCCTTCACTACTTCCAGGGTTGAATTAAAAAAAAACAATTAAAACAGGTCTCTTCCTGAGGCCTAACTCCCTAAATAAACATAAAGGTGTCTTGTGCAGGAGAATTTTTTCCTATTCAAGTTAGAGCAAAAAGTTCTGCCAGCTCTTGTACTGTGAAAAAAAGAGTTTCCATTTAAGGATTGTGGTGGCAAACCTAGAAGGCACACTGACCATAGGTTGTGGAAATGTGGCTGTTAGACAGTCTGTGAACCCCCAGCTCCCTTTTCTAACCTGAAACAGACATATGCTCTCCAACCACCCTGAGAGGGGTGTAAGTGTAATTCCTTGAGAAGTAAATGATTCCATCCCAAATAGTCACCACTAACACCTTTGTTTTGTTCCACAGCATTCCATCCCGGAAAGCAGGGATGCTCGAGGGAACATAGCAGAGAGATGGTGCATTGGGAAGTGATAGGTTCTCATCTCATAGGCCCACGGCTCATGGAGAAAGATCACATTTTAGGAAGCCGTTTGGAGCTTCCAAAAGCCCTGGTAGCAGAGTTAAAGGGCAGTCTCCTAGTTTCCTCTGGTAAAAATAATGGGTTGGTCATTACAGATATTCATCCTTGATGATCTTTATGGGCAATTGGGAGTGTTCTTTAGATCAGAGGGATGTTTAGCTCCCATAGTCATGGTGTTCGAAGAGTTTGTGTTCCTTTGACTTTTGCATGAGATCCACAGTGATTCTAGGAAGAAAGCACTCACTACCCTAGGACTATTTTTTGCCTACAGATGTTGTCTAGAGTTACTTGAGACCTTTAAACTAGTATGTCGAAACGTAGTATTTCAAAGACCACCTACAACAGAATTCTTGGGATATTTTCTAAAAATGCAAACTTCTGGGTCCCACTCCAGACATTCTGAATCAAATCTTTTATGGGCAGAGTCTAGGAATCTGGAAATTTTAACAAGCACCCTAAAGATTTCCTATACAAACTAAAGCTTGAAAATAATTGTCTAAAAGGGGCATAATGTCAGCACTTTTCTTTTTCAGTTTGCCAAGTGAATACTAGACAGTAATGTTATATCCTTTAAACGTTCTCTAAGTATTCTTATATAATCATCTTTCATAATTTCAGAACTTTTCATTCAGATGGCTTGCTGTCTTCCAAAGTTAATTCACAAAGATGGGTAAAAAAACTAACAAACAAAAAAAGAACAACAGAAAAGATGGCACTGCAACCTAAATGCCGGAAGCCGGTCTATCCTTGCTGCTTGACACATCCTTGCCAGAGGAAACTTCCAGGCTCCTCCCACTTCCATCCCAGGTTCTTTTCTTCACAGGGATTTTTTTTCCAAATAAATATTGGTATGTCTAATCCCATCATGGCTGCCTCTCAGGGGATGAAAACTAACAAATCAGGCTTGAGACTTTGCACTCAACTCCTCTTTTCTTTTCCTATAATGATTTTTGTGTGTGTGTGTAATGCCCCCCTAACCCTAAATTAAATCATTTTGCATCTGTGTCTTTTTTCCCCCATTTCTGTTGCCCTCACTAGTGAACTCAAGATTAAGGATTAATATTAATTTAACTGCTGTTATGGGGCACTTACTATGTGCCAGACTATGTGCTAAGTACTTTTGTTATATCTCATCTGATTCATATAATAACCCTGTCAGACATTATTTCTGTTTTACTGATGAAAAAATTGAGGCTCAGAGTGGTGAAAAATTTACCCAAAGTCATATGATTAGTAAGGGGTGGATCCTTGACCCTAGGACCACTGACTTCATAGAGGCTAGTGATAATAGAAGTAATAATAACAGCTAATATCGTGGAACATTTCTGCTGTGTGTGACATTTTGCTAAGGGTTTAATTCAACAGCACATTCAATACTTAAAACAATACCATGAAGCAGGTACTCTTATTGTAATTTTCTGTTGTGGAATATGAGGCTCAGAGAAGTTGAAAATCTTGTGCAAGAAATTTGCAATTGCAAACGCTTACTTTAAATAGGAAGAAAGATCTCAAATAAGCAACCTAACTCTACAACATAAGGAACTAGAGAAAGAGAACAAACTAAATTCTAATAAAGATTAGAGTGGAGATAGATAAATTACAGAATAGTAAAACAAGAGAGATAATCAATGAAATGAAAAGTTGGTTCCTCAAAAGAGATGAACAAAATTGACAAAACTTAACCTAGTTTGACTAAGAAAAAAAGTGAGAAGACTCAAATTACTAAAATCATAAATGAAAGTGGGTACATTATTACCAATTCTATGGAAATAATAAGAATTTTAATAGTACTATGAACAATTGTATGCCAGCAAATTGGATGACTTAGATGAAATGGACAAACACAAAACCTTACCAAGATGGATTCACAAAGTGTAGGGAGCGGCTCCAGAGTTAAGCCTCAGGTTGACGTGGCAGAGCCACAAACAAGTCCCAGCTTAGAGGGCAGAGTCCTCTTAGCATAATTAAGCTTGACCTTATGGCTGCCCCCTAGATAATTCCTAGGTAGCAAATGGGCTTCCGGAGATCCAGCAAGTGCTGCCAAAACAAGTGAAACTCACAAGAACATTGTAACTATGTTGACCACTACCTTGTTTTTCTCTGATTATAAAATAAAGCCTCAGCTTGCTGGCTGGATCCTTCTCTGTGGCCTCATCCAGGCACAGGAGATCCACCGAGCCCCAGGTATATTCTCTTTGTCTCTCTTTTCTTTAATTCTTCGCCATCCCCGCTCAGGCTTACTGAACCCTTGGCTGTGATGACACGGCACAACAAATAAATAGAAAATATGAATAGACCTATAAATAGTAAGGAGATTGAATCAGTGTAAGCATTTGACAAAATTCAGCATCCTTTCATGATAAAAATGCTCAAACTAGGAATAGAAGGAAACTATGTCAACATTATAAAGGCCGTTTATGACAAACCCACACCTAACATGATTCTCAATAGTGAAAGACTGAAAGTTTTTTCCTAAGATCAGGCAGAGACAAAGATCTGCCTTCGCTTGCCATTTCTACTCAAAACAGTATTGGAAGTCCTAGCCAGCAATTAGACAAGAATGAGAAATAAAAGGCATCCAAATTGGAAAAGGAGATGTAAAATTATGTCTGTTTGCATATGATATGACCTTATATTTAGAAAACCCTAAAGTCCCACAAAAATTGTTAGAACTAATAAACAAGTTCGGCAAAGCTGCAGGATACTAAATCAACAGATAAAAATAAGTTGTGCTTCTATGTATGAACAATGAACAATTCAGAAAGGAAATTTAAAAATGCCATTTACAATAGCATCTAAAAGAATAAAATTCTTAGGAATTAACTTAACCAGGGAAGTGAAAGACTTATATACTGAACAACCACACAAAAAAAATTTCTGGAAAAATATGGGAAGACATTCTGTATTCATGGATCGGAAGACTTCATATTGTTAAGATGACAATACTGCCCAAAGTGATCTATAGATTCAATGCAATCCCTATCAATACACTAATGACATTTTTGAAACAAAAATAGAAAAATCCATCCTGAAATTCATATGGAATTTCAAGAAACCCCCAATAACCAAAACAAACTGGAAAAAGAATAAAATTGGAGGATTCATACTTCCTTATTTCAAAATTTACTGCAAGGCTACAGTAACAAAACAGTGTGACATATAGAAATGGATTAGAAAGCCCAGAAATAAACCCTCACATATATGGTCAAATGATTTTGACAAGAGTACCAAGACCTTCCCTGGCAGGTGTAGCTCAGCTGTTTGGAGCATCGTCCCGTACGCTAAAACATGAGGGGTTCTGTTCCTGGTTAGGAAACATTACCCAGGTTGTTGGTTTGATCCTTAGGCAGGGCATGTGCGGGAGGCAGCCGGTTGATGCTTCACTCTTACATCAACAGTCTCTCTCTCTCTCTTTCATTCTCTAGAATCAATTTTAAAAAAGTGCCAAGACCATACAAGAAGGAAAGCACAGTCTTTTCAAGAAATGGTACTTGGAAAATGGTATCTCCATCAAAAGAATGAACTGGAACTACTTAACATCATATACAAAAAAATTAACTCACACTAGACCAAAAATCTAAGTGTGAGAGCTAAACTTAAAAAACCTCTTAAAAGAGAACATAGGATGAAATCTTTATGATATCGGATTTGGCAATGAATTTCTGGATAGGAAACTAAAAGCACAAGCAACAAAGAATCCTACATAATAAAAGGCTAATATGCAAATTGTCCCCAAGGGTGAGAGTTCAACTGACCGGGAGTTAGATGTGTGCTAACCACCAGGGAGGCCCCGGCTGGCAGCCAGCAGCTGCTAGGGACTTTACCTGCACTAGACCTCTGCCGGAAGCCGGTCCATCCTTGCTGCTTGATACAGTCACTGCAGGGAAGAAACATCTGCACAGCATATGTTTCAAGGGACCTGGCGTATATGGCATACTGTTCTTAATATGTTTGCTCACCTTCTTGGCGCTATGTGTTTTAACCAAGGTCACCTCTCTGAGAAAGGTTGTTTCCCCAGGTAGGGATTTTTCCCTGAAGTTAGGGAGGGAATAAAACCCCTTAACTAAATGCCAGGCGGGTAGTTAATCACTTTAACTATGAACAATCACCCTTAAGCTACATAATCTTTACTCCCTGGAATGGAGATAAGAAACGCCCTAACCTTTGGAATAGAAATTGACGGATTAAAATCAACTGGTATAAATACAGATGTAACAAGACAATAAAACACAGAACTTGGCCGGAGATCTTGGCTAGAGAACCTGGCTAGGCTGCTGATCAACTGAACGCTGTCTCCATGTCATTCCTTCTTCACCGATTCCGTCCACACCTTTGGGAACCCCTGGACCTGCTAGGGTTGGACCCCAACAGGCCTCTAGTAAAAAGATAAGTTGGACTTTATCAAAATTTTAAAAATTGTGTTTATGAAAGGACAGTGTTAATAAAGAAAAAAGACAACACACAGAATGGATGAAACTATTTGAAAATCATATATCTGATAAGGGATTAATATCCAGAATATATAAGTAACTATTAACAACAACAACAAAACAATGGATTAAAAAATGGCCAGAGTAACTGAATAGAAATGTCTTCCAAGAAGATATAGAAATGGACAAAAAGCACATGAAAACATGCTCAGCATCACTAATCATTAGAGAATGCAAATCAAAACCACCATGAGATAACACCTCACACCGATTAACATGGCTATTACAAAAAACCCAAAACCACCCAGAAAACAATATGTTGGCAAGGATGGGGAAAACTGGAACGTCTGTGCATTGCCAGCAGCAATATTTAATGGTGCAGCCACTATGGAAAATGGCGTGGCAGTTCCTCAAGAAATTGAACAAAAATTACTATTTGATCCAGTAATTCTACTTCTGGGTAAATACTCAAAATAATTGAAAGCAGGGATTTGAACAGGTATTTGTACACCCTTGTTTATAGCAGCATTATTCACAATAGACAATAGGTAGGAACAACCCAGAATTCATGGACAGATGAATGATAAATTAAATGTGATGGATACATGCAATGGAATATCATTCAGCCTTAAAAGGGAATGAAATTGTGATATATGCTACAACTTGGATGAAACTTGAAGACATTATGCTATGTGAAAAAAGTCAGACACAAAAGGACAAATATCATATGATTCCACTTATATGAAGAACCTAGAGTAGTCATATTCACAGAAACAGAAATAGAATGGTGGTTTCCAGGGGTTAGGGTGGGGACTGGGGAGCTATTGTTTCATGGGTTTTAGTGTGGTAAGATGAAAAAGTTCCCAATGGATAGTGGTAATGATTGCATAACAATGTGAATGCACTTAATGCCACCTAGCTGTACACTTAAAAGTTAAAATGGTAAATTTTATATATTTTTTTTTTACATAAAAAAGGAGCACAAAAACACACCCTTGTGCAAGGTCACAGTGAATGCCAGACCCAGGGTCGGAAACTGAGCTCTTAACCACTTTGCCATTCTGTTTACTGTAAAGTCTCCTGATTGACATTCTGCCCCTGTGACTTCTGTCCATTTATCACACCATTGGTAGAGCAATCCTCCCAGGGAGATGTAGGATGGGGCAAGGGGTCACTTACATTGTACATCCAGCTCGAGAGGGTCACTTTTGCTGGAACTGATGGGGTTGAAGATCTCACACTGATAACCCCCAGCGTCCTCCCTCCTGACGGGGTCTATGGTGAGGATGCTGTTGCCCTGGGACAGCTTCATCCTGTCCTTGTGAGGTAGAATCTGGTTCTTGAAGAGCCACCGGAAGGAGATCCCCTTGTCATTTGTGAGGCAGGTCAGGACCACGGTGTCCTTATGCTCTGTGACTGTGGCATTGCTGGCTCGGAGGGCGGGCTTCCCCACGGGCTCTGTGGAGAAACAGAGGAGGTGACTGACTGAGAGTGGGCTCCTTCCTCAGAGATGTCAGCCACTCACAGTCCACAGTGATCTCTGTAAAGGTCACCTGAGGAGGACTCTGACCTCTGCAGGGTGAGGACCTTTGTTCAGGTGACAGTCTGTAAGGAGAGGGCTATACCTCCCTCCCCTCTGCCCTTCAGATCACCTCAGGATGACCCCTGACCTGTCTTCCTGGGCATCTGTAGTATCAGCCCAGGAACCTCTTATAACACTGTGTGTCCACTATCCACATCAGGTAAAATTTTCCACCCATTGACTTTTAAAATATATATGTTTTTATTGATTTCAGAGAGAAAGAGATTGGAAAAGAGAGAGAGAGAGAGAGAGAAACATCAATGATGGGAGAGAATCATTGATTGGCTCCCTCCCTCATGCTCCCTACTTAGGATAAAGCCCTGGAATGGAACCATGACCCCCTGGTTCACAAGTCAATGATCGGAGCTCAACCACTGAGCCACATCAGCTGGGCTTCACCCATTGACTTTTGTGTGACTCTTTCCCAGACCTTACTGTGACTTTCTAAATACTCACACCTCCTCTCAAGTATGGTGGCTACACACAGAGATGGAAAGGCATTTCCTTTTTATTAAACAATTTATTACAGAATGAGAATGGCCCAGTCACGACCTTAGGACCTGGAGAAGTTTTAATCTAAAGGATTTCTCAGTCTGAATAGGACTTTCACTTCCTGGCCTGTGGATGGAATATCACAGAGAAGGAAATCCCTAGAGAGAAGTAGTCACAGTTTGAACAAAAGGCGGGTACTCTTAGCTTCCTCCGTAAACTACAAACTCTGTGGCACTGCTCCTTCTGTCCCATGAAGGGACTTCGTGGATGAATCTACCTACGTGTCAGGTATGCACCACCGCTCACTGCTCTCCTCAGCAATGTCACATACAGTCGTGTCCCGCAGTGTTGTACAGCTGGTGACTTCAGAGCCAGGACACAGCTCAGAGGAGGCTCCCCTGTGGCTCACTCTCTCCCTATTTCCATGCAACCTGGTCTGAGGGAGGCCATGGTGTTGGTGGGTGACTCACAATGGCCAGATTGAGGACAGGCCACCCATGCACCTTCACTATGAAACCCTGTCCCACCACAGAGGGCACAGAACAGCCAGCCACCAGGTGAGCCTGGAGCAGAGCAGGGAGCAGGGAGCAGGGGTGGTTTCCTCCTTTAGTTTGGGGAAAACAGGTGAGCTTGTTCAAAGCCTGTATGTTCCTTGTAGCACATGGAGCAGATAACAGACAAGAGGTGACAGAAGGAAAGTGTTAGTGACGGAAGAAGCAATGTGACCTTGAGGACCCTTGTTTTCCCCTCTGGAAAGTCCTTCCCTCCACCACTTCACGTTTTCAGGAGCTGAGAAGAACCCCCTCCTCATTTTCCTAGGCTGGACCCCAGCTCTGCCATGAGAAATCAGAAGAGCAAGGGAGGGGAATCTACAGAGATGCAGTGGGAAGGCTCAGGGGAAGACTTTGTGATTTGCTTGTGTCCATGGCCACTGGATGGGAGACAACACCCTCTAGGCTCTGTTCTGAAAACCAGACAGACCTGCACCCCACAGGCTGATGTCGATGGTCCAGGAGACACTTACCAGAGACTGTGATAGTCTTGGCCACGGTCCTATAGGGATGAATGACAGAGTTATGGGTGAGGCAGGTGTGGGATCCACTATCACCTGCAGTGATGTTGGGGATAAAGAGCTCCTGTGTGGGTTTCTGGGGCCTCCCATTGATAACCTAAGAATACTGTGCAGGCGGGTTAGAGGCCGAGTGGCAGGAGAGGCTGAGGTTTGCCCCTGGAAGGTAAGGGTCCTCTGAGGGGGAAGTGGTGGTGGGGGTGGGGGCGTCATCAGGGCCATCTGGAGAAGGGAGCAAAGAGAACAAAGCCACACATGATGTAAGCAGAGAGAAGGGGAAGCTCCTGGTCTGTGTAAGGGCCACACTCTCCCTCTGAGCTGGTTTTCAGCCTGATTTTTTGTATGTTTGTTTGTTTTTGTTGTTGTTTTTTAGATCCAATTCAAGTCACACTAACAATCAATTTGAATTACATAAGTGTTATGCAGAATGGCTGCCTAAATTCCCTTCCTGGGGTCTAAAAAAGACTTCCTAACACTAGTGTGAAATTAAATGATTTTTCTTTACTGGGGGAAAAATATGAAATTTCAAACTGCTCCTACTGAACAATTTGCACCATCTGTATGCAGGTTTTAGATAGATCCATTTCACAACCTGCAATAAATGAAACAGCTATTGGGATGCATGGAATATAAGAAATCTCTGCCCAAATGCATGTCTCTGCTACTTGATTTTGCTACCGAACTACAAAGAATGACCTGCCTGTTGACACTTCCTCAGTGATATTGCCTTCTGAGTAGATACCATCACTGCCAAGTGCTTCTGCTCCATGAGCAGTTATAAAACGAGTTAGAACAACTGCCCTTCTCTGAAGCAATGGTTGTTTATGTGCAAAACCCTCTGTGTCCCACACACGACTCTCCCTACTCCTCCAAACAAAAAGATGAAGGTGCTGGTGGTCAACTATAGCTACCCTGAAACTTCCACCTCCCAGTATATTTATACAAATTTATTAGTATCTTTTACAGATGTCCCCCTTGTTCTCCATTGGCCTCCTACACCCCACATCAACCCCACCCCCAGCCTGGTTTTAAAAAACTGGGCCCAGTCCAGCTGGCATGGTTCAGTGGTTGAATGTTGACTTATGAACCAGGAGGTCATGGTTCAATTCCCAGTCAGGGCATATGCCTGGGCTGCGGGCTGTATCCCAGTGTGGGATGTGTAGAAGGCAGCCGATCAATGATTCTGTTTCACCATTGATGTTTCTATCTCTCTCCTTCTCCCTCTCTGAAATCAATAAACATAAATATTTATATATATAAAAAAAGAGCCCCAGACCATTAACCCCTATGTTTACTGAGCCTGAGTCTGAGACATTAACTTGTTTGTTCCAGTCCCAAGAGCTGCCCTGATGTGTCTGGTATAGGAATTCCTGGCCACCCTGGGGGTTTGGAGTTCGTGTCTGTGTATGTGGACCTGAGAGAGACAGATGTAGCCTGGCCCTGGCAGTGTGGATTTGGGTGGGCAGCCTGGCCCCCACAGGGACAGAAGTTACTCACAGAGAACATTCAGGGGGAATGGGTCACTGCGGTCGGCACTCACGGGGTTCCGGGTTTCACACTCATAGGGTCCTGTGTCTTTCCTTGTGACAGGGAGTAAAGTGAGAGTCCTGTTGTCCTTGGACAGCTGCAGCCTGGCACTGGCCGGGAGACTCTGACTGCTGATCAACCACAGGTAGGGGGTGTCCTGAACCTGAGGTTCACACATTGACAGGACAGGGTCCTTTCCTCAACGGTTGGAGTTGCTGCTTGTGATGTTGGGTTTGGGGAAATCCTCTGTGCTGGTAACAGAGAGAGCACTGCCCTGTGTGGTACCTTGGATTCCTCTAAAGCAGGGGTCCTCAAACTACGGCCCGCGGGTCACATGCAAATACAAGTATTGTATTTGTTCCCGTTTTGTTTTTTTTTACTTCAAAATAAGATATGTGCAGTGTGCATAGGAATTTGTTCATAGTTTTTTTTTTTAAAACTATAGTCCGGCCCTCCAACGGTCTGAGGGACAGTAAACTGGCCCCCTGTTTAAAAAGTTTGAGGACTCCTGCTCTAAAGGCTTCTTTCATCAGAGTTGACACCTCTTGCTTCTCAGCCAACCTGAGTTTTTAAAAGAATAAGGCAGGTCTGTGCATCACAAGACAAACAAATCATGAGGATCTGAGCGCTCAGAGGATGTAAGGCCGCCTGCTCTATGTCTGGGAGAAAAAGCACGGACATTCTCAGGTGTCAGATAACTATCAGGGTTTGATCATAGAAAGACACAGGACTGGGAGTCAGAGACCACCCGGTACCTGTCCTGGTTCCTCACTGACCAGCTGACTGTCTGGCTGACCGTGGGTCTCACCTGGAATGTGCAGGAGCTGAGTCCCTTCCAGCAACACAGACCTACATTGCCGGGTCAAGATGTGTTTCCACTGAAGCCTCACATTCGAGGGTTAACCTAGAGATGAGTAATGATGGGCCACCCCATAGTCCTTAAAACCCCAAGAAGACTGGGCAGTGTGGCCCTGAACTGGGTGTCAGAGCAGAAACAATACACAGGAGACCAGAAGCAAGTCTGGCGGCGAGTTTAGTACTCAGGCTGCAGGGCCACGAGTGGCCATCTGCCCAGGAGTCACTGGTGACTGACATGAGACAGTGACCCCAGAAAGGGCAGAGCAGAGTCCAGGAATGATTTAGAAAAGAGTGGGGTACAGCGGGAGCTGGCTGGCAGTGGCAGCAGAGCCAGGCTCTCTGCCCTTGGACTTTAATGTCCTTTCTGCCACTGCAGAGGGCAGGGATCCTTCCTCAACACGCAGACAATAGCAGGTACAGAAGGGGGGCTTGTGGAGGCGGGGGAGCATGAACTTGCTGAAAATATGGCCCTCATGGTCCATTTGTGTTTGGCAGTTATGAGATAGATTTTGAGTTAAACTGAAAAAAAAATATGTGAAAATCACTCATGCCCCAAAGTTCTAATGCCCGTTTTTGGAGGAATCTCTGTCCAGAGAGCACGAAGGTCATAGACCCAGTTCTGCAGTTCAATCAGGTCACAGTTTTACCAAAGGAAGATGTCACAGTGGGTTTGAAATCAGGGACACCCTGGGATAGAGAGAAGGTGAGTCTTGAAAAGAGAACAGAAGTGACTGGGGGGTGGGGGGAGGGCGTCCAGGTGTCTCTGCTGTATAAAGGGAGGGATGACACCAAATTGGTAGAAAGGACATGTGCCGTGTTAGTAAAGTTAGGGAGAAGGTCCCTCCCTGTTTCTGTGGACCGTCAGGCAGATGGGGAGGAGCCCCCACACAGGCCTGTGGCATATGTTCTTCCTTGTCTTTCTAACTCAGGAAACAACTGGAGTTTAGTCATATTCATTCAAAATCGGCAGCATCTAAGTGACAGAACAATGGCTGGTGGACCTCACCATCTGAGAGGATCCCACCCTGTGGTCAAGGTATCATGAGTAGCCTCATACCAGGACAAGGATGTGAGTCACGAGTCAGGGGTGAAGTGAGCATAATAAGGCCCTTGGAGTGGAGGAGAGGCCTTGGCTTGACTGACATTGGTCAGTCACAGTCTGTGTGATTCGTGATTGAGTGACTGTATCTTCCTGTAACTCAGTTTTCCCTGAATGAAACAGGAAAAATGGTAAATGGTCTCAGGTTTGCCATGTTGCCTGTTAATGAACCTTGAATCTTTCATAATTTCCTAACCTAAATCTTGGAATAGAGGGGCTGCCCAAGTTAACAGCCTCTGTTATTATTTGTGTCTGTGAGAGAGGATGCCATGGGCAGATCCCTGGTGGACTAGGAGCTTTGAGGAACATCTTCTCTTTCCCTCCCTGGGGAGACCATGTTCCTCTTCCTTCCTATGTCCCCCAGGGCAGTTGGCTAATGGCCTGAGGACATTGCCCACATACTCCCCACGCATGGTCTCAGGTGAAGGAGCAGGTTCCATCCCTCCCCAGATGTGGCTCTTGAGGCTGAGCCCTGGCGGTGACCACCTCAGCAACCTTGTGACTTGGGCACCTGGGAAATTGTTGCTGCCAGTCAGCCCTGCCCACAGATCAACCTCAATCACCCAGAGGCTCCTCAGGTTCCCTGGAATCAGGAGCCCTTGGACAGAGGTCTGCGGAGGGGCTGCCTGGTTGAACTTGTCTGTAAGGATCCCAGGGTTCCCCAGGCCAGTCCCTGTATGAATCCTGCAGGGTTGTTCTCTGGGTCATGGTTGAGAAGGGCCCAGGGGCCTGGACTGAGATTGGAATCCCTCTGCTGAGTCACTCCCATCAGACCAGCCCTTCTCTCTGTGGAGAATGTCTGCAGGGCTGGAATCCAGGAAGGAACTCTGACCTTAGGAAGTTTGTCTCCACTGTGTGTCCTGAACAAAATGCCCAAATTCAACCTGGAATGTGAGGCAGAGGGGGATGTAAGAGAGTCCAGGCCTGGCAGTCCTGTGTGTGAAGTAGGATATACCCCACCCGACACCCAGAGGTCAGAGAGCAATCACTCACGGTATACACGGAGCTGTCCAGTTACTTGTATGCTGGTATAAATTTTCTTCATGGCTAGTAGGGTGTAGTATCCTGTGTCCTGCAGGGTGACTTTCTGGAACAGCAAAGATCCATTGGGGTATATTGTCTCTCGATGGCTGTATGCGGGCCCGAGGGTAATTGTTTGAGTGTCTATTACATATGATACAATTTGAAGGTCACTGTCCACTATTTCCCCTTTGTACCAGATAAAGCCTCCAAGATCCCCAGGCAGGTTGTGGACACGGAGAAGCACATCCTTCCCTTCGGCAGCATTGGGCGGCACTGATTCAATAGTGAGCTGGGCAGTGGTGGGCAGGCTCCAGAAGGTTAAGAGTGAGGCTAGGAGGGAAGAGAGAAATTGATCAAGATTTGGAGCTATGTATTGGGATGGAGAGATGATGGCCTGGGTCCTAGCACGTCTTTTCATCTCTCAGCCTTGGTGTGTGTGTGTGTGTGTGTGTCCTGTAGTCAAGTTCAGCAGCATGGTTACCAATACTTTATTTAGCACCTCTGACCTTATTTCCTGTTTGAAAACTCCCAGATGGCTGCCTGGCTCCTGAGGTCAGAAATGCTCACAGGCACTGCTCAGACCCCTGTTGACACTAAAGACCTGTGTCTCCACTTTCTGACCTGTCCCTGTTCTGTTTTCCTCATAGCAGTTGTGGGTCCCTGACATCACACCTAGATCTTTTCTTGTGTGTCTCTTCTCCATAGAAGGTGAGCTCCATGAGGAAAGGGGTTTGTCTGATCTCTTGTACCCCCAGGGCTTGCAGCAGGGTGAAGTGCCTGTGGGTAAATGAATGAGTGCTCCCTGGGTCCTGCACCCACTGGGGTGTATATGCCTAGTTCTGAGGTTGGAGGTAGAGACAACGCTTAGTGCCCCTGGTTCATTTTTTTCTTGTGTCACCCTGACACAAATTGTTATTATTATAATCAGTTTTCAGAAAGTATTTCGGTGATGAATAACTTGTGAAACTTACCATAATCAAGGTTTTCCTGCCCCTCACCACTTCCAGATCATGGGAGTGTCCTGCTGCTGAGCCCCCTCCCCCATCCTACTCTTCCCCTGTCCTTTCCCCTCAGGTCCAAACAGAAGCCCTCTGTCCGCTCTCAGAGCGCTGTGCTCCCCAGGAGACCCCAGCCAGTCTCTGTCTCCCCTTTTCCTGTCCATCCCCAGGGATTGTCCCCTCCTTACCAGCCAACAGGAGCCTCTGCCAGGGGACGCACCCTCTGTGCACAGGGGCTGAGGGGGACTCCATGGTGTCTGCTGTCTGTTCTGTCCCTCCCTCTGTGAGAAGAGCTTGAGATCCAGAAGCCTCACAGGCACTGCTCTCCCTACTGGTGGGACCTGCTGAGTCTCCTCCAGGGACAAGATCTCTTCCTTGGTCTCATGGGCAGGGGGCGGGGTCTGTGCTCAGGTCCCTCCTATGTCCTCCCCTCCTTTCCGCCTCCCCTCTCCCACCTTCCTGGTTACCTTCCATCTAAATGTCAGATCCTGGGAATTGATGAGACAGCTGTTTCCTCAGTGATTCTCCACCCCACCCCCACCCCCACCCCCATAGGCGCATTTCCTTTTGAGATAAGCTTGAGTCTTGGAGATGGAGGTGGGGGTGGGGGAAATTCCCTAGAACTTAAGTTGAGTGCCCAGTAGCGCCCCCTGGGGCCTCTCTTATCCTTTCTGGACTTATGTTTCTGAACAGGAGCTCTGGGGTGACATGAAGAACTCTTGTTACAGGAATGTCAACCCCTTGTGCGTGGGATCACCTGTGGAACTTGGTAAAGATGATGATGCCTACAGGACACTGTAGAAATGCTGATTATCAGCTGCCCAGCTAATGTGGATGCCCGCCAGGCTGTGAACTGGGGTAGTGGCAGCCCCTCCCCTCTCCTGTGCACAGGAGTGTCTGTAGATCCTGTTCAAAGGCAGATTCTGAGAGCCCTGGCTGGGGAGCTCAGTTGGTTATAGCTTCCTCCTGATAAGCCAAGGTTGCAAGTTTGATCCCAGGTCAGGGCACCTGCAAGGATCAACCAATAAATGAATAAATAAGTGGAACAACAAATCGATGTTTCTCTCACCCTCCCTTCCTCTCTAAAACCAATCAATTAAAAAACATAAAATAAAAAGCCAAAGACAAAGGCAGATTCTGACTCAGTAGGTGTACAGTGGACCAGAGACTCTGCATCTAACAAGCTCTCAGGGGAGGTGGATCTTACTGGCTTGTGGAGCCCATTGTCTTTCTTTTTGTCATTTATCACATATTTGTTGAGCTTATTCTGCTCTCCCAGGCAGTGTAGCTGGGCATACAGCAGTCCACAAAACACAGATGTGAAAATCCAATGCTTATTAATAAATCCATGCTAGTGTTTCACTTGACATTTTTGGTAAACATCTAAATTTGTTTAAAAATTATGAGGGCATCGGAGCACAATTGCATAGCCAGGCTGATGGGGACCCCTTCACCTGAGAGGATGACCCCATCACGCCAGCATTGGCCTCTGCTGTACTCAGATAGCCCCTCTGCTCCCCTAACCTGGGGACTTTTTTCCATTTGTAACACTCAACCCAGCTGGGCACTGGTGAAAGGAGGCAGCAATAGAATTTGTGGAACCAACTAGTCTTATAAGAAATATGAATCACGCTCTGTTAACCATGATTGTTTTATTCTGATTAAAGAAGGCACATTCTACCCTGGCTGGAGCTGACCTGGAGCAGCCCTTCCTCCCCATTTGGAGCTGCCTGTTACCATGGAACGATTAACAACTTTGCTGCAGAAACTAGAATCCCACCCCTTTGGAGATCCCCCAGCCCACTGTGCACACCTGCAGGCCTTTGCACACCTCCAACCTCCTTACCTGTTAACTGCCCATTTGGCTGCTTCCCATGTAACCCCAACCCTTGCATATCACTAGGCCCTTTAAAGACCCTTAGTCCTTTTGCATATCTGTAAACTGCTTTTTTTGTCTACTTTTCCTTTGTGCTTATTTATATAAGCAACTGGCTTATGGGGGTTTGCAGAGCAGATTTCTGTGGCTGACCTGCTGCTCTCCCATGCTGCCGGCAGCATTGGAATAAACGCTCATATATAATTCTGAAGTATGGTAGCAATCATCTCAGATTGAAACTGTAGTTTAACTCTAACCCTGTTGTTTGGCTTAACAATAGAAAAGTTATTTTGATTTTCTGAATTATATAAATCATCCCATTCAATTAAATGCCTTATTGATGGTAATGTGAATATCCCACGGGTTGGGGTCATACTGGTCTTAGAGAGCACATTCTTCTGTACCTGGAAACAGGACAGCAGAATTACCCTAAAATGTTTTAGTGGCCACAGGTGGTGCGTTCCAGCTGACTCAGTGGTCCTGAGACCAGAACAGCACAATTACTCTAAATTGTCCTGACAACTCAGTGGTCGGGAGACCCGAGGGCTCTAGATAATGTGTGATCCGGAGACCCAGAACTGTAATTTAGATAACATGCCTAAGTTTAACCCAGGTTACCCGAGGGCTCTAGATAATGTATTTCTGTCAAAGACCCGAAACTGTAATTAACATGCTTAATTCTGCTTCTGTAATCTGCTTTTTTGCGAGCCAGGTGCCTCATTCCAAACCCTGGGATGTAATCAATACCTTTGTGATTTTTGCCTAAATAAGTCTGGTTTTGCCACCATCTTATTACTATGAGATTTGGGAATGGCCCCTCATAGTCCTGGATTGCAATAAATGTGACTCTTTAATTTGACTGCTTGAGGCGTCCTTCTGTGATTCGCGGGGTACGTTACAACAATTCCATCCTGTCTCTGTTTCATTGGCTTGAGTAGTGACAGGAAGCATGGACCCACTGTTTGTCCTGTGACATTGGGTCTTCTCTGTGTTCTCAAATGCTCTGCGAATGTTGGATTTCCTCCCAGCAGGTGTTGATGTTCTTAGTGACCGGAGACAGAGGCAAGCTTGGCGTGTAGGATGAAGTAGAGCAGAGGGCTACCGCTCGCTCAGGCGTGTAGCAAGGACCCTCTGATGCCTTCTGGCTTTTATTGAAGTGAGCACAGCAAACAACAATGGAGTACAGCAAGTGACAATGATTAACAGGCATGCTTATGAGATCATCAAAGCTAAGTTATACATTACACTATTAATTTCCTATGTTATACAAAGACTCTTTCCACCTGCAGCAATGCACCCTCCCTTAAACTTTCCATGCCCTTATGGACTATTTATCACGTCAAGGAAAGTTCTGCCTCTGAACAATAAGTCTTGCGTGCAAAACTTTGTTCTGACGCAGCCTGCTTGCATGCTCCCGCCTTTTCCTGGCAGAACATCCTCTTCTAGTTAACTTCATTCAGCTTGACCGCTACATTTTCCCCCTTTTTAGTTTTGCTGCAGGTTTGAATCATGACAGAGAAGATAGCAAAGCTGTTTCATTATAAGGTACAGGGGTGACACATAAACCAGTATGGTTCCAATCACACTTTAACTGTAATTGCCTTTGCAGGCTAACAATTTGGTCCCCCAATAAAACTACTGATTGTTCAAGATAGGCTAATTGTTCATTGATTTCACTATCAATTTTCCGTTGAGAACTCCATAACTGTTTTGAATCTTTATGACAGTCTTGAACAAAAGTAGCAGTTTGGACTGATCGCTATAATGCTACCCCAGCTGCTGCAGCTGTTGCTGTTATAGCAATTAACCCAAGAATTACAGCGATTAGCATGCCAATAATTTTTTTTGACCTCTTCAATATTTCTTCCGCAATGGCTTGGAGAGCTCCAGCTAGAGAACTTTCCTGCCATTGTAGATCCATCTGTACAGGTAACCATACTCCTGTTCTGGCTCGCAATAGATACAAGCTCTCTCTATTGTGATTAAAAGGTATATAGTTATTTATACAGGTTAACAAAGTACAATTAAAACAAGATATTTCCCCAGTAGTTTGATTCCATTGGACTGGACCCTTTAATAAAAGATATGGAAGGTGTACACATGCCTGTAGGCCTCGAGTACTATTACGGTACCAAGTCATACTATGTTTTCCTGACACATTCTCTAACTTTCCTGTCCAGAATTTTATTGGTTTTAATGCAGCCCCTAATTTCCAGAGGTGATTTTGCACTGGGGCCCCTTCCATATGAGGGGAAGGGGGTGTAAAGCCACCTCCATGCCAACGGATGGTTTCATTGGCAGTTGTTGATATGCTACAATTTCCTATATGCCATCTAAGAATTTTACCACTATTTAGGGTGCGTGCGGAGCCAAAAGGGCTCCAGGCAATAATTCTCCCATATGGATTATTAACAAGAACACGTGCCTTATCCCCTCTACACCGAGTCCATTGGACCTACTCTAGTGAGTGTGTATGAATAGGCATTTGACACACAGGTAAAGTTGGAGGCATGTCTGTCCTGTCACTTTCATTTCCTCTCAATCCTTGGGCAGAAAGTATGAATAAATTATGGCGTTTCCCAAGATTAGTGGTGTTTTTTGCCATACTTAACCAGGCTTGATTACCCAATTGTAAACAATGATCACTCAGTCCCAGACACACAGGCATTCCAATAACTCCTGTCGAGTAGTTGTTCATTCTTGTTCCTTCTTCATCTGGTTTCAATGGCCCACGATCTTTAAAAAGTCCAGGCATCCAATTAGAGTTATTAGTTACAGGGCCTTCCATGGGCAGTCACAAGACGTTCCCCTTCCTGGCATAGGGGCTTCACCTGTCCCCAGGCAGGTGGAGGAGTGTTTCGGGTGCGAGGCAACGGCACGCAAATTGTTTGTCCTCTCTGGATGGTTAGCTGCGCAAACCGGTCTTCCAGTCCCGCTTCGTCACACTTCCTCTTGCTCGCCTTAATTGCCTTAATTTGATTCTTTGATCAGGAATCCAGGACTTCTTAGTTCCTGTGGAAACATAAGCATAGCCTCGACCCCACCTTAAAACGGTAGTCGGGCACCATTGATTAGTAGTGACATCTTGGTACATGATAGGTTGTTCTACCGGGACCTCCTTTTTATGTCCCCAATGCATTTCGGCAGCTGACACTGTATCTGTATTCAAATTTAAAAAATTTAAAGTAAATAGAGCTCTTAATAATCTTCGTCTGGGAGTCTGGCCTAATACCAGCTCTTCTCCCCCTTTTTGTTTTTGTAGCATTTCCTTAAGGGTGCGGTTCTGCCATTCAATAATTGCTTGACCTGTACTGTTTCCAGGAATTCCTGTAATATGTTTAATATCAAACTGTTGGAAAAAATGTTGACACTTATCTGATAAATATGCTGAGCCATTGTTAGTTTTAATGGCTCAGGGTTTGCCTATAACATCAAAGGCTTTAATGCTGGATTTGGAATTCCAGGTTGTAAAGATTTTATAGGCTTAATAATCTTATTAATCTATCTTAAATCAGTTAACATTTTCTATTTACCTGATTTTTTTTTTTTATAACAAAGACAGGGGAATTCCATGGATTAGAGCTGGCTTCTATATGCCTTAGTTGTATCTGTTTTTTAATAATAATTTGGAGCGTTTCTAACTTCTCTTTTGTTACGGGTCACTGCTTTACCTATACTGGTTTAGCTGTTTTCCATTTTAAAGGCAGGGCAAAGCGCTTTGAAGTGGCCCCCTCTATAAATTTTGGTCCTGAATACTGACGCCCGTGATGCCAGCACCAGCTTGACAAATCATTTGTCTATGACCTTTCTGTAAAGAAGGTATAGTAATTGTAGCCCCCATTGCTGTAAAAGATCTCTTCCCCATAAAGATAGTGCAACGGAGGCAACATATGGCTGTATTTTGCCCTTTTGTCCGTCAGGCCCTTGACATTCAAGTACATTAGAGCTTTGTAAAATTTCAGTGAGGTTTACAACCTGTAAAAGTTGTATTCACCTTGTGCACCGGCCAAGATTGAGGCCAGTGCAAAGTAGAAACTATAGTTACATCAGCCCCAGAATCTACCAGGCTGATAATTTTTATTCCCTCTGGGAACAAACTGTAAAAATTGAGGCCTTTGGCATCCTAAGACTGTATGCTAAAAAACCTTTTTTCCTGTGCTACCAAATCCCCCAGTTTGCTTAACTGGTGCTGTATGCCCTATTTGTTTATAGGGAAGTAATAATAACTGTGCCATTTTTTCCAGGCTTTATATTTATAATACTAAAAGCAGATATTATAACTAATATTTCTCCTTCATAATCTGCATTAATAACTCCGGGAGCATGTTTAGCTTTCTCTTGTGGGACTTTTGCCTTTCTATAATTCTTTTTTCATATGTCCCACCTTTCCACATCCATAGCATTTAACAGGATGGGAATTGCAGTTTTTAATGCATCAGCAAGAAAATTAGCATTATTATTAATTATTAATCTAATATTTTAATAAGATTATTATTATATTAATATTATTTATATAACTTTAGAAAATGATTGGGCCGGGATGCTAGCCTCCTCTATTTTTGACCAAACCTTTAAGCAACAAGCTCTAATTTGTGCAATAACAGCATCCTCTAACAGCACCTGTTGCTGTAAGCTACTATGTGTCCCAGTTCCTGTTAACTGGTCAAAATTAGATCCAGGTGGATTTTGTTGGGCGTTAATCATTGCCACTCTCCTGGCTTCTTCCCAGCACCAGGAGTTAAATTGCAGATATTGCCCTGGGGCTAATACTGCCTTAGCTATAGCATTCCAATTATAAGGAATTAATGTATAATCTGTATAAATTAATTCTATATTAATTAATATATAAAATTAATAACATATATAATTATATGTAATAATATTATAATTAATAATACATATAACCCTTGAGGGTTTTGAGCATTAGCAGCTCTTTGTGTCCTGAGTGGAGGCTCAGCCGCTAACGCTGGATTAATGGCTAGTGCCCTTTTACTTTCACTTTTCGGCGGTGCAGCCAACTCCTGAGGACTTTTATTCTCTTTCTTTTCCTCTCTACTGTAAGTATTAATTCTTTTAAACTCCCTAAAAGCTCCTTCATCTCTGGGTCCCTTCTTGCCACCCTTCTTTTCCTTAACTTAGGGCGAGGGCAACGATCCTCTTCCGAACCAGCAGAAGATGAATCATCCAGCTCTGAATCGCTGGCTGAGGTTATTCTTTCATAACCTCCTACTTCATTTTGCCCGCTAGTTTTCTGTCCTTTTCTTGACTCCCTCGGTTCAGTGACCTCTAACGGGAGCGGCTCAGGGGGTTGCAATTTAAAAGCCTCATCCTTCACTTTTACCCCTGAGCTCTTTAACAATGATTTCAAGACAGCTATATATTGACTCTGCATCGACAGGCTATTCCCCATGACTCTGTCTCTATTGCCGAAAGTTCCGCGTACTCTGCGCTGGCAAATCCCTTTCGGTCCTACCCGTTCCCAATTTCTTACCTTCGGGTCCCTGATCTGTTCAGGCGCCATTTGTTGATGTTCTTAGTGACCGGAGACACTGAGGCAAGCTTGGCGTCTAGGATGAAGTAGAGCAGAGGGCTACCGCTCGCTCAGGCGTGTAGCAAAGACCCTCTGATGCCTTCTGGCTTTTATTGAAGTGAGCACAGCAAACAACAATGGAGTACAGCAAGTGACAATGATTAACAGGCATGCTTATGAGATCATCAAAGCTAAGTTATACATTACACTATTAATTTCCTATGTTATACAAAGACTCTTTCCACCTGCAGCAATGCACCCTCCCTTAAACTTTCCATGCCCTTATGGACTATTTATCACGTCAAGAAAAGTTCTGCCTCTGAACAATAAGTCTTCATGCAAAACTTTGTTCTGACACAGCCTGCTTGCAGGCTCCCACCTTTTCCTGGCAGAACATCCTCTTCTAGTTAACTTCATTCCGCTTGACCGCTACAGCAGGAAGGCCACAGAGAGGACTCTGGAGGTGAGAAGGAGGCAAGCTGGGTGATGACTGAAAGGGGACCTACCTTCTATCTCCAGATGCCAGCAGCCAGGCCTCTACTTCCTGGCCTGGGTATCTCAGAAGGACCTGCAGTTCCCGGGTGTGAAGGGAGAGGTGTCCAGCATGTCCTGGGAATGAAGGTGTTGGTGGAAGGTCATGTGGCTGTGTGTTCCCTGGTCCACAGGGGACAATTTCTGGGAGACCCTCTCTCATGTCTTGTGGGAAGCTGCCTATTGTCTTCATTAGCAGAGAGGTGTGGACAAGGAATCCGGAAGGCTGGTGATCCTTGAAGCCCTTGCAAAGGTCAGGGCTGTGCACCCACTGTTAGTCCAGACAATGGTAGCTGAAGCAACTTCCCCATTTATTATTATGTAAATCCTTGCTGATGGGCTAGTCTGCCTGTTACTGGAAATTGCCTGCCTAAGGGCTATGGGTGTATCCCAAACCAATAAAAGGTTGGAGAGGCCTGGGCACCAGTGGAAGTCCTTCCCTTGAGTTGGACTTAACTGCCTGGCCCCCCAATATTTCCAAATTATCTCTTGTCTCTTCTCTTTATTTGTGTGCGGCTCCTCTTTCAGATCCTGAACCCTGAACCACACGGAACATGGGGGGAAACTTTTCACAATGTCTGTTGGCTGAGACTGTCCATGTGCAAATGGGGAGGTGGGGAAAGTGAGTCTTTCTGGCAAGTGTGCTCCCCTGGGAGAAGGCAGGAAGGAGGGGGCAGGCAGGGAGATGGCAAATCTTTTGAAAGGAACAACTCTCTCCAGGGTGCACAGGAGGAGAGTTCATATCCAAAGGGTCCTGTCTGGCCTCGTCCTGGGTTCACACAGAGGCCTTGGGCCTCCAGCTTCTAGACAGATGGGTGAGGAGCCCTGTGGTGAGCACTACCTCCTTGATGGCTGAGGCAGGAACCTGGGAGTGCTCAGTTCACAGACCTGGAAGAGGCTGCGGCAGCTGAGGTCTGAGCTGGGGTTGGTGTGATGTGGACACAGGCCACTGTGGGTGTGATGCCCTTGGGGTTGGCAAAGATGGGGGCTGAGGTGTTGAGGAGGGTGGGAGGGTAGGGCTGGGAGCTGCTGTAGCTGGGACTGGATGGAGATGACACGTGACTTCCAATCTTCTTTTCAGGGGCCCAAAGTA